AACTCAAGGTATGAAGTGACTTCAGCTCAGAGTTTCAGGAGTGATTCTGAAGTACTCCAGAGTGAGCATTAGGGGATGGCATGAAGCCAGAGAGGCTGCAGGGATCTGCCTACTATATTTTCTTTGCTTCTCTAGGACTGACGATTCCCCTCAGCCAACCCACCCAGTCCCACCTCACACTCCATGAAATAGTGGAGCCCAAGCCTGTAGCACTTCCTGCTTGGGTGCCAGAAGACCCTTCTGCCTAGGTCAGAGGAGGAGGAGGAGGTGTCTTTCCCCCAATCCTCCCCTTTTCAGTCCTTCCTGAGACAGAAACGCTTGTGCACTGCACAGTGTCCAGTGGCACTAATCAAACTGCTACACTGCAGTGTTCAGTGAGGAATGGTTAGCAGGCAGATGGGGAAGACAGCATCAGCTGCTGGAGGAAAGGACAGTCATTTCACCGTGTCTTTCCATGAGCAACACATGCCAGTGGGATATGACCCTGCAAGTTCGTATATATGACTTGTATTTCAATTATCACTTTTGGTTTTGTTTCTTCCAGGGACAGTCAGCCAGCCAGCAATGTCAGTCTCCAGTAAGGAGTGTAAGCTCGAAATTTGGTCAAAGAATCTCACAGTACATGTGAAGTGGAACCAAACTGAAGGTCCGAAGACGAGGAGTCAAACCAACACCATGGCTCTGGAAGAAAACTGTACAGATCTCATCAGCCCCTGCATGAGCTCAGCCCATATGGGAATCTGTCAGTTTGGGGTCATCATCACAAGAATAAACTCAACATACGCTGGGGAAGGCACACAGGGGACAGTTCCCAGTAAGTGGCAGTGGGTCTGTTTTCATGGGCGTGATGAGTGGGCAGAGAAGGAGGCTATGGCCAACGCTCCCCTGGTTCCCCCGTGCACCATTTCCCCTGAAAGCATCCTGGGAAGCCCTTTTGGCAGGTGCATCTCACCATGGAGCTGCTGGGCCATGGGTTCCTTGAGATAGGACCTGCCACATCCTGCAGCTGCAGCACAGTCAGCTGAGTGCTGAGGTGGCTGGAGCTGTGGTGGCAGGAGCGGGACAGCCAGGGATATGAGGTCCAGGTTCCTGCCCCAGAGCAGGGCATGGTGCAGGGTGTTCTCTGCCTCTGGACAGTCTCTCACTCAGGCTTCTCTGTTTTTCAGGGTGTTGCCCTGCAGGACTTCAGACCAATGTCACAGAGGAGAAGATCTGGACAGGTGTGTCCTCACAGCCCCAGGGCTGCAAGAGTCGGGGGCAGGAGGATTTTTCAGGGAAAAAAAGGAGGAGCAGTAAGGGGGAAAACATCCTGAGGTTTTCCCATGAGTGGGTGGGAGCCACTGCCAAAGCTGGGTAGGCACCAGTGGATCAGAGGTTGCGACTCTGGGAAGGGGCTCTGATGCTCTGATCAACCCCTGTCTGAGTCCAGATGAGATCTGTAGACTGTTCCCTGCAGGATTTTGTCAGTACCCCGGGGCTGTGGGTGATTCAGGGTTTGGGAAGCCCAGGTTTGGAAAAAACCACCCCCCACGAAGGAGGCGATGGCAGCATGTGTGTCCCTGCACGGTGGGACGGTGGCTCACGAGTGCCTCTGTGCTGTTGTGTGTGCAGGATTCAACCTCCTGTGCATCCTCTTTGGCTTAGCGGTGGGGACGCTCATCTACACACCCTTCTTTGGCTTCCTGCTGTGGCAGTACAGAAGGAACACAACAGGTAAGGCTGTTGGCCTCGAAGCCCTCCATGGGCTTTTAAGCCCTTTCCAACCTCTCCCGCCCTTTGGTCATCTTCTGAGCCAGACAGCTCAGACAGCCTCATCCTCTACTACAACAAAAGTAGAATCAGTGCAAATGTTTGCTTTGTTTTTTCCTTATTTTCTTCATTTGAAATAATTATCCTTGTCATTATTTTAACTGCTATTTAAACTATGTTTTGTTTTCCAGGAAAGCTCACGAGTGGGGAAGTGGCAGAGGTGGATCAGCCTAGCACGGTAAGCCACGGGGACTTTGCACATATCACTTCTTCCTCCCTGTCAATAAAAGCACTGGCTGCTGAATACCCACTTAAAGAATTTCAGAGTAAAATCAGCTTTGCTTTCTGAAAACACGGTTCTAAACACTTATTAATTCCCATTAAATAGGGGCTTATGAGCGTCTGAGTAGGTGGCACTTCAGAGCAAGCTGGATAATGCTTGGGAGCGCAAATGGTTGTGCCAGTGGAAAACCATTATCAGGGGATACACAGGGGGAAAGCCAAGGCTCTACTCATTGCTCTCTCCCTGCAGGAAGGCCCGGTGACAGAGACTGAGGACCTGACCTATGCCAACCTGAATTTTGAAAAGAAGGAGACAAACCCTGCCTCCTCCAACATCATTTACACCGAGATCAAGCCACCGCAGCAGAAGCAGAGTGGTGGGGATGCCAGTGCAGCCAGCACAGCTGTGGATGTCTCCCCCAGCAGAGAGGGCAAATGAGGGAGAAGGGAGGGGGAGCAGCTTGTACATCTGTTGGTGTTGTTCTCCCCAAAAAACTAGGTGTTAGCTCATACAGAAGTGCAATCTTGGTGACCAAAGCCACCTCTCTACCCCCAAGTGGCTCCACCACTGTGCTGTGTGTTCCCCTGGAAGAAGCCATGTCTCCTGACGTGGCTCAGCATGACAGGACTCTTGAGCTGGTTTTCCCCTTGCCTTCTGCAGCTCCAAGCACGGCCAAGTCTCAGCAACTCTTTTCACTGTCTCCAGTCATTGACAGGCTCCTCTAACAACTTGCTCCATGTTTCAGGAAGGTCCCCGTGCACTGTGTGGCCACCATGGTCCAGGAAGAACTTGGTGTCCCCTTGGTGCTGGACATGCTGGGTGGGGTAGCCATGTCCTGGAGCAGTTTTCTGGATTTTTCTCTGGAGCAGGTACCTGCTGTGACATGGGCTGACCTTGCTTCAGTTCACTCACTTGAAACACAAGTGACAAAGATGGAAAAGCATCACTTGCTTCACAGAGGTGCATTGTGGGTGCTGCTGCTGTGATCCACATGGATCTGCTTTGCACTGGGAGTGGCTGGGTGTCCTCATGCATGTAGAGCTTTCCTGTACTTTGGAAAATTAAAAATTGAAAGTTCTCCTCTTGCCTGCAGAAAGGAAGCAAGATGGAGGATCTCCAGAGAACACCGTCCATCATTCCTTGGGGGTTGTTTCCAAGCTATCCCTGGAGGGCCAGGGGATTTGGTTTAGAGCAGACACCATTCAGCTCCCACCCTATCCTCATGGAAAGGAGACTCCTTGCTTGCTCTCGGGTGGGATGTGCAGGCAGCCGTCCTGCACTCTCCTGGTGGGGTGCTGGGGCAGAATTCCAGCAAGGATCAGAGAGGGGTCTGTGGGCCACCTTGTGTTTGACAGCTGGCTGAACATGAGCCAGCAATGTGCCCAGGTGGGCAAGAAGGCCAACAGCATCCTGACTTGTACCAGCAACAGCAGGGCCAGCAGGACCAGGGCAGTGACTGTGCCCAGCGAGGCACCTCAAATCCTGTGTTCAGTTTTGGCCCCTCATGACAAGAAAAGTGCTGGAGCGTGAGAGAGGGGCAACAGAGCTGGGGAAGGGTCTGGAGCACAAGTCTGATGAGGAACAACTGGAGGAGCTGGGGTTGCTTAACCAGAATATCCAGAGAGTGACCCGTCACGAGCAGCCGTGGTCACTGGGTTCTGCATTTGCTTAACTACCTTAAAAAGAAGAGGAAGGAAAAGGAAAAGTGTGGTCCATTGCTTCATCAGGAAGGAGTTATGAACTGATGAAGTGGAGAAAGCTGGGACAGTCATAGTGCTGCATTTGGATTCTTCATGACCAAGGTTAGTGGGGGATCAGATCTGGGATAGTGTTTTTAACAAGGAACCAGGCAAGAAGCCATGAAATAGCCTTGGAGCAGTTACATGAGTGAACAAGAGGTGGGGATATGCAGCCAGGGCTCTTGAGGAACTAGTTGAGGTAACCTCTCAAGTGGAGGCAGGAAGGGTGGGGGCAGCATCTTTGGCCATTGGCTATTTTTAAAAAGGTGAAGCAGCTCCGGCCAAATTTCACTTCTCAAAAAGTTGCTATCACAAGCGGCTAAGCAAGTGTGTGAAGATAAAGCAGTAATAAACCCAATGCCTCCAGCAGTGTTTACAGTATCTGCTGAGACCCCCTAGGGAAGGGGGCCAGAAGGGTAAATACTCCTTGAAACCAGCGTGACAGGATCAAATTCCCACCCAGCACACGCTCCACGGCCTCACTGTCACCCTTGGAGGGCCGCTGGCACAGCAAGAGCAAGTAAAGCTATTTAAAGAGAACAAGATTATACAGCCTTAACCATCACTGCCTGAACTCAGCAGTAGCTGGAAGTGCTTGGAAAGCTGTTGGAATTCCAGTTGAGTCAATCAGAGTAAAACAAAAGCTTCTGCTGCTGCCCCACGCCTCTCTTATCTTATTCACTTCTGAAAGGAAAGCCTAGTTCAGGTTAAGGGCTGCCTTTATCAGGGACCTTTCATGTGAAAACAGAGATCTGATCTTCCTCTTCCAGTGAGACTGAGAAAAGGCAGTAAAATCCCCAAAAGCCATAAGAAAGCAGAGGCTTTTGCCCATTTCCTTACATCACAAGATAGGAACAATAAGTTGTTTGGACAGGTGGTTTATCACAAGACTCTTTGGGAGCTGTTCTTGCTGATGACAGAGAGAGGGACTGGGGAGAAGAGTGAGGAAAAGGGTGTGGAAAAGCTGTGCTCTGGCATGAAGGGGCTTCAGTCCCAGCAGTGACAGTCTGGGGTGGTGCAAGTGTGAGTCCTAGAGCAACATCTGAATGGTCAGAACGGAAAGTTTTAACAGTTTCCCTTAACATCTGTTCTTGCCAATGTGTATCATGTATTCAAGTTTTCAGAGGAACAATTTATGGAGAACTCCAAGATGAAACTCAACATTTCAACAGCTCCAGAAATCACTGAGAGGCTGACTAGAAGGAGAGACACGCTTAGAATGCCACTAATCCCAGCCTTAAAACAAAGGCTTTACTATTGGTCACTTTTATTTCAAGAACAGAACAGCCTTTCATCCCAGCCCCCTCCGTGAGTTTAGTGAGTAACTCAGGTAGAACACAGCAAGCACTCACATCCTGAAGAGCAAGAGCTCCAAACAAAGCAATCCTCACTGCGACACTGGATGTGGGTTTTCCTCCACTCCCACCCTGGGTGAGAAGCAAGCCCCGCACAAAACGTCAACAGCTCCCTCATCCCACACCTGTGGGACGCTTCACTCGCAGGTCTTACGCAAATAAATAGTATCTCATGGAGAGGGAGCAGATGGCGACCACAGATCATCTAGAAATTAAGTTATTGCTATGTTCTTATGTATTGGACACTGCAGGTAACTCACTTGGTAACCACCAAGAGAGGTGACAGTCTCAGATTGACCTTGTGTTATCAGTTTGCATTGGACTGAAAGCTGTGAGAGGTCAAGATAGATCCTGTAGAGCAGGAGTTTTCTAGGTGGGACTGAATCTTTGTCATTTTGCTGTAAACAGGTGGGGGCAGGGACTCCCAAAACACTTGGAAAATCATCATGCCTGCCAGACTTTACCAAGAAGATCACACACACTTCTAAGAGCACATACTGCTAAGTATACTCACTGCTCCTGATTTGTAACTGGAGCTGCCAAGCCACTTTCCCAAGGTAAGGGGCTGCAGGTTCAAATTTCAAAGAGAGCACGAGCCCAGTGAAACCCCGGGGAGCTGAGCCAGAGCTGCTGCATCACCGGGGAGAATCAGGGCAAATCAGAGCTGTACAACACGTGCATTGGGAAATCCGGGTCCTGCCACAGGCACACAAGGACAACCTGACACTTGACTGTGCTTCCCTCTGCTGGCGGGACACGCTGTGATCCAGCGTCAAGGATCCAGGATCACAGCAGCTAAAACAAGGAGTAACATGAAGTCTGGGACGTGACTTGTCAGGTAGCCCAAGGCTGATTACGAGTGATGAGCTCACAGCAGTGTCAGTGCACGCAGTGCCCCTCCCCACACGGAGTATTGGCCGGAGAGCATGAGTTTGAGAGGATGAGGACTGCAGGAAGAACCTCAGAGTGATGGAAAAACAGCAGAGTCCTTTGCAGGACATTCAGAGATGTCTTTGTTAGGCATCATGCAGCTGGTTCTCTTTCAGGACAATCTTCTCCCCAGGCTTGAAGGCAGGCATCCCCAGGTAAGGGCAGCTGGCACAGCGGAATGCATCCCCCAGGTAGCACTGGAAAGGGAAAGAAAAGCACTGTCTGTAATCAGGGGTACTTTCAGGTGTCTTCCCCTGTGATTCCTCCAGCTCAAGAGATGACATGTTCCTCTCAGCATCAATCAGCACAGAGACCACTTCTCTTCTGCCCCCTTCTCAACAGGACTGGCTGGCAGAGCCGTGCAGGGCACTGGGCTCACATGGAAGAAGTGAGTTCTCCACCCCACCTGGTGTGCCCAGGCTGGGGCAGCCCTGACCAGCCCTGTGGGCTCCCATATGGAGATCCTCAAGCTGTGCAGGAGCTGCACAGGCAGCGTGTGGAAGCAGTGAGCCAGCTCAGGCAGCAGTCACAGAGATCCTGTACTGCAAACCACAGTACAGGGACAAAAATCACTACTTACGTTTCCACAGGCAGATTTGGGCTGTGAGCTCTTCTTCTCCTGTTCCAGTTCTTCAGCCAAGCCGCACGTGCTGTGGAAAAATAGAGAAGTCACCTGTATCTTTCTGCTTAAAGGTCACGAGTCATCAACACTTGTTCCAGCCCTGCTCACATGCAACAGCCCTCGCTCTGTCACACGACAGCTGACTCTGGCACTCACACTCCTCACTTTGTTCTTCGACACCACAGTTTGTACAGCAAGTGCTGAAACACTCCCAAGTTTGAACTGAGTGGGAAATGACACTGCAGCACTTGCCATGTGTGCTATTTCTGCTTGAAATGTAAGAAACTAGGGTTTTAGTCAAGCTGCACAAACTTGTAGCCACCTTCAAGGTGGCTTTTGATCATCGTGGTAATTTGTAGCAGTCACTGGTCAATCCTCGTTGTATTTGGATTTACATTCCAATAATTAAGATAAGAAAGGATGTGAACAAATTAGGCTTTGAAGAACAGCAAATTGCCTACAATCTTTTTAAAACCCCTCCAACTCTAAAGGTTTAATGCTGCATTTGAAAGGTTCACTGATATGCTAATTCCAGCACTGACCAGTTCTTGCAGGCTTTCTTTTTGCCCATTTCTTTGCAGGATGGAGCTCTGAGGGACGATGGGTCTGGCTTTTTCAAATCCTCTGAATCCAAGAGCTCATCAGAGTCCAAAAGATCCTGAAAACACACCATGAGAGACAACATGCAGGAAACGGATTTGTCAGTAGGGAACGACACTGCTGAGTTAGGTTCAAAGAAACAGTGCTATCTGTACACTGGCATTAACGTGCTGCAGCTGTGCCCTCCTATCCCTGTCTTCCCTCCACCCTCACTGGGCTCTGCAGACCCCACAGAGTAGATGAGATAATTTGCCTTAGGGAGGCTCTTCTACCTCTGAAGTTGTAAAGCTTCCCAAGAGGCATGACTGAAACTATTTAGAATAGGAAAGAAGAGAGAAGGAACAACAGCAAAGCCTCACAAACAAAACCAGATACCATCTCTTCATCATTCATATCATTGGCAGAGAGTGTCCACAGCTTGGCAGCGGCTGGGTCCACAGAGGGTTTTCCTGGAGCCAAAACAAAGGAAGAAATAGCAGTTATTCCAGCCTTTGCTCCATCTACTCCCAACAAGCAGAGTTCAAGCAACTTTTGAAAGCCCCACTAGCACTCCCTAGCTGGGAACTGTTTCCACACAAGGGATGCCTGTCACTGAGAGCAAGGCAATCCAGACATCTGGCATGCACCACTCCTTACCTGAAGGACCAGAGTTCTTGGCAAAGGAAAGTTTGAGCTGACTTGAGGATCCCACTTCGAAATTGGGCTTCCTGCCTTCTATCTGAATAATGAGAAGGTCATTGCCCTGGTAACCCAGATGCTCTTGGACCGACTGGGCCTCCTCTGGGGTCAGCGCTTCCTTCTGCAGCTGCAATGTAAGATTTTAGGTTAACCTCACAAAGAACCCTGTATTTTAGCATCCAGTCCAGCATTCCAGTGAACAGACAATCGATATTTTCAATCCTGAGGAAAAACACTACCCTTGCAGCAACCAAAGTTTGTGCCAGGCAGTGTCCACGCACACTTACAGCAAAGCAGGGTAGCTAAACACCTCACCCCAGGTAACTGCCCGAGGGCAGCGCTGGAAGTGGTCAGTAAATACGTACCTCCTTCACTTCCACCAAGCCAGAGAGAGTCAGAGCTGTGAGGAGCTTGGCTGCTGTCTTGATTTTGCCATTGTTTCCTGGAAGACAAAAAAACAGAGAGTAGGAGGAGGGAAGAACCACAATAAAGGTCACCAAGAAACTTGGAAGAGTGAGAGCTTTAGAGGGAAGTACTCAAGCCAAACCTCTGCTTTAAAACTCTGTCCTTCCTGGCTTCTAATCTTTTCTGGGTAACTTTTTCTCAACTGGCTTCTGGGGCAACCTCTCTCAGCATTTGTCACCCGTTTTTAGAACCACTTCAGAAGCTCCTCAGAAACGCAACATCTGCAACTACTTAACATGGCACTCTGAGAAGACCAGTGTCCATTGAGCTTCTCAATGTAGTTTAGGAACAAGCCTATCCAGCATTTTTGATAGAAGCAGTGACTGCAAACATCTCTGATGGATACCTGCTTAAGCACAGGGTAAACCTCTTGCTATTGGGGTTAGTGTGCCAGGAGAATGAAAATCTCTGAATGTCGGTCGGGGTTCCTGTCCTTTCCATTCCAGCCTAATCCTCTCAAGAACTGCCATGCTAGCAAGATTCTCTCACCTGACTCCGTAACCACTGGTTCTTTCAGGAGGACACGGCCCCCAGGCTTAAGTATCCGAGCCACTTCTGCCAGCAGCTCCACGCTGTGCTGCGCTGCACTGCCTGGGACCACGCCAGAGAGGATTACATCAAAGCTGGACTCCCTGTGAGCCGCTGGGAAGGAACAGGAAGATGGTACAATTTTACACACGTGCACACACACAGCTTAATACACCAGTTCCACCTCCCTCATCTCCCATGCTTGCATACAATGGCACTAACTGATTAAAAACACCGGTCACAGAAGCACGGCCAGGGGGTATGACCTCTCTGGCTGTACTGCCCAGGGTAAGGGTCAGCAGCAGGTGCTGTCACTGTTCTGAGTGCTGACTCCCAAAGAGGGAAGGTGTCAGCTCACACGTTGGCAGCACGCTCTCCCTTTAAACAAAGCAGAGAAAAATTAAGCTCGTTCTTACACTGAGACAGCTGGTTAACGTTTTCCACAGAGACACGACTGTCAGCTCCCACCAGTGCCTGAATTTTATCCACCAAATCCTTCAGGGCTTCCACGGGCGAGGATTTGTCCCAGACGATGGCCACGCGCTGGCCCGGAGTGACCCCGTACTCCCCCATTTCGGCAGCAGCAGCAAAACTGGCAGTGGCTGAGGGAGGAACAGGTCAGGGGACAGAGATAGAGAGAGGAAGGGTAAGTGCCAAGCACAGCAGGAACCTCTGTGGACTGTGACTTCATCACACAGTGTCAACTTGTTTTAATAAACAGTGATAATTTTCTCGAGATGGGCAGCACGAAGTTCCCACAAGCTGAGCTTCAACAGGACACGAAGGAAGAGCCACACTTAATGGTATAATTCAGTTTCTCTCCCGTTCAGGGATTAGTTTTGCTGGGAGACTGCAAGCCATGCTTAAAAAAACCAACAAAACAACAAAAGCTTACCTGCTTTCCTTAGAAATCTGAATAAGCCAAACACAGGATTTCTGGATTTCTAGACTAGTGACAGCTACCTGACATTAAACACTGCCTTGTCTCTCCTGCTCTGAGCAGAGTTTGCTTTCACAGTGCATGTGAAGGAAAAAAAATTAACTTTCACCATTCCCAGCATTCCAAATTGAGGCTCTTCCCACTGCTGTGATTGGTGGCACTGGGTGAGCAAATCACAGGGAGGCAGGAGGGGAACAGAACGTGCAGTGAAGTGACAGTTTCGAGAAATCCGTCTCCACTAATATTTTATACAAGGTTGTATTCCTGATGGAGCAATAGTATCCCATCATCACCTGTTCTCACAGCAGCACCAGCTGCTGAGCCCAGTGACCTCCCCTCTTTCCTCTATCCAACACAAACCTATTTTCTTCCTAATTTTACATGACCACCGAGAACAGAGAGCACTAGTGACCAGCACAGTTGCCTGGTGTATCTTCCAAGCCACACAATTATTTTGGGAGAGCCAGCTGTAAGCAAGGTCTTTACCAGGAATCACTACGTGACAAATCCTGGGTAGTGCCTTATTGCCACCACGCTGTCATGAAAGCACAGCTCAGGGATATGCATAAAAAGGCCACCTTTCCCAAGAAGGCTGAAAATCCCAAAAGATACGTAAGCTGTTAGGTTAAGATAAACCCAAAGTTTTATCTGTTAGGCTAAGATAAAACCCTTCCTCTCTGAACAGCAGGTTGTGACCTTTCAAGATCAGTCAGAGCCCAAACGGCATCAACAGCACCCCCAGCTTCAGCCAAGAGCTCCCCGAGATGCAGGAGGAGGCCACAAGGGCTGGATCCGTGGGCGGGGGATGAAGAGGGGCCCTTATCTCAATGTCACACGCATTTCACAGTTCCTGAGGAACAGGGCAGGGGAAGGGGTTAAACAACACGGGGGGTTCAACAACTTAAAGGGCTGCAGTGCTGGAAGGGGACGAGCGCCAAGATCCCTTCCAACCCAACCCAAACCATCCCAGGGTTCTATAGCACATCAGGGCCTAAATTCGAGCCTCCCGACGCACCACAGCCAGCTTCCAGCGGCCGGGAATGTTCGAGCTTCCAGCGGCCGGGAAGGATCGAGCTTCCAGCGGCCGGGAAGGATCGAGCTTCCAGCGGCCGGGAAGGATCGAGCTTCCAGCGGCCGGGAAGGATCGAGCTTCCAGCGGCCGGGAATGTTCGAGCTTCCAGCGGCCAGGAAGGATCGAGCTTCCAGCGGCCGGAAAGGATCCAGCTTCCAGCGGCCGGGAACGCTCCCGCTCCCAAAGGCCGGAACGCGGCCCAAGGCTGCGGGCCCCTGCAGCATGTGCGCATTTTAAACACGCGTAGAACGGGGCGGAATGAACCTCTCGGTCACCGAGCGGGGACGGATTAGAGGGAGCAGGAACAGGGAGGGAATTGCGCGAAGGAATTATATATACATATATACATATATATATATATATATACACACACGCATACACACCCCCATACACACCCCCATACCCCTCAGGAGCCTCTCCGGGTGCCAAGAGCCCCCTCTCCCCGCTCCCCTCTCCCCGCTCCCCTCAGGCTCACCCGGCCCCGCTCGGCCCCCTCAGCGCCGCTCGCCCGTCCCGGCCTGACGCCGTCAGCGTGACGTCACCGCGCCCCGCGCGCTCCCAAGATGGCGGCGGCGGGCGCGGCGCGGCGCGCGGGCTGGCGGCTGTGGCGGGGCCGCGCGGGTGAGGGGCGGAGGGGCGCGCCCGGGCCGGGAGCAGGATGGGGGGAAGGGGGGGTGTGCGCGCGCTCCCGTGCGCGCTCCCGTGCGCGCCCCCGTGCGCTCGTGCCCGTGCCGCGGGGCGGGGCGGGGCGGGGCGGGGCAAGGTGAGGTGAAGGGCGCGAGGGCTGAGGGGGGTGGGTTTGGAGTGGTGTGTGTGTAGGGGGGCGCGTGGTGGTGGTTTTCTTTAGGAGTGTGGGCCGCCGAACGAGTTTATTAAAAAAAAAAAAAAACAAAACAAACAACAAAAAACGCCACAGCAGTGAAATTACAAGCTCCCCCAGCGTGCCTTTGAGTCACATGAGAACCCCGCATGGTGCCAGCGGTTGTGTATTATAGGGCTGCTCACGATCCTGAGGGTGAATTCCCTGTCCCTTCCTTCAAACATGGACCCAGAAGGGGAGAGGGCACTTTTGGGTACCCGGTTTCCAGTCTGAGATTCGGAAGCTCTTCGCAATGCTTGCCATTCTCACTGTTCTTCCCCCCACACACACACACACAAGACATTTTTGCTTTATTTTCTTCAAGTAAACGCGAGCTCGGCTGAGAGCGGCGCTTCTCGGAAGCGTAAAAAAACACACCCCGAATTGTGGTTCTTTTCAGCCGCGTTCACCATAACTCTCTTCTCCACCTTTAATTTTCTGTGCCTGGAAGGAGGCACTGACTCTCCTGGTTTCCCTTTCAGTGGTCAGGTGCCAGCACTACCCACCACTCCGAGCTCTCCAGGCCTCGGCCGCGCTGAGGAGAGTCTCCGATGAGCACAAGAAGGAGCCTTTCACATCTTCCTCTCAGCACCAGTTCGATCCACATCCAGCAGGTCACCAGCCCGAGCAGGAACCTCAGGGCCCTCACCCCAGGTAACTCAGCAGCTCTTCCCAGCACAGCCCTGCCAGCAGTGGGATCGCAGGGCTTTGCTTTCCTGAAAATCGCATCCGAAACTTGAAGACAACTCTGGAGATCCGGAGTTAAGGAGCCTCACGCTGTAGCAGCTGGAGAGCTGGGTTGCTGTGACAGTGCAAATTCTACTGTCCACAATGGGACTTGCTTCCAAGAGGGAACTTCTCTCGTCTGCAAAGCACGAGTCTTTGCATCTGATTTTTGTGTAAATCTGAACAAAATATGGACAACGTGTTGTCCATGTGCCTATAACTATAAAGCCCACGTTGGAAAAGTTTAACTTTTCTGTAAAGGAGGGGGATTCTGGAGCTGATTGGTCTCTAGGGAGGCACTTACACTGAGCCCTCCCTTAGTTCTCTCTCACAGTTTAAGAATAATTTTTCTGGAAAGGGGAAGGATTTTACAGGAGGAGGCCCGATTTATAATGAGCGGGTCCCAAAATGTGCTTGCAGGCAGCGGTGGCAGCGAGCGAGTGGCAGAGCCCAGGGTGCTGGTGTGTGGTGGTGGCGTTCCCCTCACTGTAACAATACCTTCTCATAGTTGCACTGGCCAGGGCGGCCAGGAGTCTGAGGACTATGAGAGCGAGGAGCAGCTGCAGCGTCGAATCCTCACAGCGGCGCTGGAGTTTGTGCCTGAGCATGGCTGGACTGCAGAGGCCATTGCAGAGGGAGCCAAGGTATGTGGGGAGAGAAGCAACAACCCAGTTGAATACTGGATGGGGCTGAAGTGCAAAGACAGCCAGGCCTGCATGCTTCCCCCACATACACTTGGGCGATGCACCCTGGTCAGCAAGTGCTGCCGGGCAGGAATGTGTCCCAGCTGCTACAGGATAACCCCTTCAGAGTTAGACTAAGGCATTATGTAGTGATTCTAAAGAGAGGAAAACATGCACAGGAAGTTCTGAATGCAGCATTGCTTTGTTTAAATTCATATAAAATCTTTCACAAAATAAATATGACATTTTTCCTAGCTGGATCCTGCTTAGCAGTGTGTGACCTGCTCTGTGCCTCTCCCTTCTTCCCTTCAGACCCTGGGCCTCTCTGTTGCTGCTGCAGGGATGTTTCACAGTGATGGCAGTGAACTGATCCTCCACTTTGTGTCTGAGTGCAACGCCAAGCTGTCTGAGCTGCTGGAGAAGGAGCAAAAACTAGTGCAGCTGGGTGAAGCAGAGTGAGTATTGGGTATGAGCAAACATCTTCCTTGGCAGATTTTGGGAACTGGCTAGACAGACAGGCCACCTGGGACATAGATACTTTAAGGTAAAAGTATAATTTACCACATTCCCAGATTCAGAGCAGGACCAAAGGTATGAAGGATATATATAGTACTTTGCTTATTTATTGCTGAGGCACATGGAAATTGATCTTTCAAGATCAGAATTGAGTTTAACTTGGCTGTTCTTAATTTTATTTTCCTTTTCTAGGAAGAAGCCTACAGATGAATTCCTGAGAGATGCTGTGGAAGCCAGACTGAGGATGCTGATTCCATATATTGAGAAATGGCCCCAGGTATAAATGTAACATCAAGATTGTCTCTTTTTTGTGTGTGTATTTTAAACACCCTGTGACTTTCAACGTAGTCTCTCCACCAGATTAGTTCAAGGTTGTAAATGAAACCCTTGCTGGTTTCAAGTTATTTGTAGCCTTCAAGAGGAGATCAACCTTGTAAGGAGGCAGTTAAAGGTGACCTTAGAACAACTGTTTCTCGCAGTTCTGGAAGGGCAAAGCTCTCCACCCATCTGGTATCCCCAGGGGATAACCTGTGTCTCTGCTCAGTCCTGCTTGCAGTGTCACTGCAAGTCAGGCTCCGTGCAGGGTTGTTCTGGCTGCACCAGCACCACCTGACACCTGGAAATGCAGAACTGCTTTGCTGCAGAAACTGCCCTTCTGGTGTGTGACTGGCAAACCTTGGGCAGCCTGAGGGGAGAGCTGTGAACTGAGAGTACCCAACCCTGGGCCGCAAAGATTGCTGCAAGATCAACCTCTGTCCAGAACCACTGCTGGCCTCTGGGCAGCTGATTCCAGCTCTCCACGTGAAGAGAGAGGGCACAAAATTCGTGCTCTTGTTCCAGATTAGCATAACTTGCCTTGTGAAGGGTGGAGGTGGTTTGTGACTCTCCTGGCGTTGTGTGATTACGTTCAAAGGCTGCAGGATCCCAGCAGGGCCATTATGGCTGGCGCTGCTCTGCCCTGGGTTGCTGCTCTGAGTTCAAAGTCAAATTCGGAGAAATGAGAGAGGTGACTCCCTGCCCACAGGGGCACAGGGTGAGTCAGCTCAGCCTCTGCTGTTTCCATGCCGGAGAGGCAGCTCAGGAGAGACAACACGGTGGTGTTTGAGCTGAGCAGGGAGCTCAGGGCTCCAGCACAGGCTGAGGCCTGAGCTCATCTGCACATCCTGGCACTAGGAAAGCCTGGTGCTGGCTGCAGATTCCTGGGAGGACTTGTCACTGGGACCTGGAGGCAAAGCAGCAGCAACAGGGAAAAGATAACAGAGCAGAGCACTGTTGGTCTGCTTTAATATTACCTCCCTCTCTCTTGGACTCTCCCATTTGTGCGTTTCCTTTGCAGGCCCTGAGCGTCCTGTTGCTCCCACGTAACATCCCCTCCAGCCTCAGCCTCCTCACCAGCATGATCGATGATATCTGGCACTATGCTGGGGACCAGTCCACAGATGTAAGTGTTTGTGCTTTGCAGACAGGCTGGTTCTGCCCCTCAGCACTTCAGCACAAATGACGGGTTCGAGTAGGCCTGGGGCAACATCCCTCTGGAAATGCTCTGTTTGTTGAATGGGGGAGACGTATCAGAAGCACCCAAGGTTTCCTTGTAAACTACAGTCTAATTTTCTAAAGAGACTAAATGCAAATTAGTGCCGATGGGATTAGTGCAAATTAAAAGGACCTACTCGCCTAGGCTCTTAAGTGCTCTTCTTTTTAATTTTTGAAGGCACAGATTGTTGAGATTCTGAGACTTAGAACTTGATCCAGTATTCAGTGAGCGAGCAGTGTGTCTCTGTCAAACAGCTCTCTTCCACCAGCAGTAGCATTTACAGACTTGACTTGAAAACCTTTAAAGAACCTACCTAAAAATACCAGTAGCTCATTAAAGCTTTCATCTTTCTGGCAGGAAATAAAAGAAAATTATAACCTTAATTAAAGCAATTAATAAATTACTTTAATTCTTAGAGATGTATGGAGAGATGGAAAAAGCTAAATGAGCCATTTTAACAAACTACTTTAATAAGCTTCTTTTATCTGGATATAAAAGAGAAGCTACTGCAGTGAAAAATAAATAAGATGACAGAAAAATTAAAGGAATGAACCTGAAGAGAACTGAAAGAACATGATTGCTTCAGGAACTCAAAGTCCCTTTTGGGTTATGAAAGTCAAATCGACGTGTCGGAGCCAGTGTCTGCACTGAGCTGTTCCTAAAGTCTCCTCACCGACGCAAGGATTAGGAGAGGTTCTAAAGTTTGTTTTGTTTGCACCTTCTGACTGCTTACATGAGTTTTCTGGGGCAGCTGTGATGCTGAGCCTGCTCCCTCTTTCCCAGTAAAGGGGGTTTAAAGTCGCAGTGGATCCCTCTTCCCAGTGCCAGGAGCTAGGCAGAGTATGCCCATGCCTCAGAGACCCCCTCAGGTAGGTTTTTTGGGGGCAGGAGGAAAGAGTTTGGTCTCAGGCACCTGATCCAGCTGCAAGTGGCAACATCCCCCATCTTTCTCCCCTTGTCAAAGCTTGCAGGTTGTGGTGCCAGCAGTGGAGCTTTCCACCCAACTGTTGTTTTTAAAATCAAGGCCTGTGTTTTCATTTTTCTGTTGCTTTGTTACCATGAACGGAACAATCCAGTATTTTTTCCTAGGCAACAGCAGCAAAAGGAATTGAAGGCTCGTTTTTAAAAATGTTTATGTATTTCATCTGCCAGTGGCTCAAGTGCCAGTGGCAAATCTGAGGAGTCTGAGTTACTTTGTGCACCTTTGCATTGTGTAACCCGTTGGTGTAACGCACCTACAGCACTGCTGCCAGCACTGTGCTGATGCATTTTGTGACTCAGCAGGCAGCACTGGTATTTCAGGGACAGGACTTGGAGGGGTTGTGTCTGTGCCACGGGAGCAGCTGTTCTGTCAGGAGTCGGTGTTGGTTGGTGCCCCACTGCATCCCAGACAACAAGGGATACATTTTAAGGGGGGAAGGAACGTGCTGTCGGTGCATGATTTTCCTTTGCCATTCTCTTGACCTGCATTCAGGTCACACCTTTGTGCCTCTCCCATCCTGCCCTTGCAGTTCAACTGGTACACCCGCCGGGCCGTGCTCACCGGCATCTACAACACCACTGAGCTGGTGATGCTGCAGGACTCGTCCCCCGACTTCGAGGACACCTGGCGCTTCCTGGAGAACAGGGTGGCTGACGCCATGAACATGAGCAACACAGCCAGCCAGGTAACGTGAGGGGCAAGGCCCTCGGGCAGCATCCCCCTTCTCCCCAGGGATGAGTGCAGGCAGACCTGGCTTTTCCATCAGGCAGATCCTGCAGCTGCTGGCAGGTGGTTGCTGTTGGTTCAACATCAATAAACACTGATGTGTTTTCTAGTAGAAGGACATGTAGGTGCCCTGTGTGTCAGGACTGGCCCAGTGGTTGGGAGACAGCCCAGGAAACCTCTTCCCTGTGTCTTACCTCTTGTCTGTCATTTGTCTGCAGTGCAGTCAGCACCCTTCTGTAGCAAATAGCTGCTTGTTGTGCACTGCATCTCTGTGTTTGGGGGCCACAAGTGCAACTGCAGAAGAAAGCAAAAGGTCCTGTTCTCCCTGTGTCTCCCAGGTACAATCCACTGGAGAAGCTGTTGTCCAGGGCCTGATGGGAGCTGCAGTTACTGTAAGTAATGTTGAAACTCTGAGACCAGAATTGCTTCTGTCCCCTCCCATGCTGAATGCCAGCATGGTTTTTTTCCTCCCAAATCTAGGGAACATGAAAAAGAATTGTCTCTCATAACTTAGATATGTTTAAGGATGCTTTCCAGGGTAGTTTGGGAGTTAGATCACTGTTTCACAGGGAAAGAACTTCTGCAATAGAGCAGAAAGAAGTTAAGTCTGAAGTTGCAGGGTGAGCTTTAGGGATGAGAGACAGGTGATCAGAATACAACTGTTGTCCACTGTTTGTCACAAGATCTCTCCCTCTGCCAGGCCCTGTGCTAGAGGTTCGTGCTCCCATGGACACTTGGGAGGTGGCACCTGTCCCTGAGCCAGAGCAGGGTGACTTCCTCAAGCTGTTTCAGTTGACCTCAGTGCCCTTCCAAGAATTCATTCACTTCTTGGTATTGTCCTGGACTGCTTTGTGTCCATGCAGAGGGAGCTTCGCTTCCTCTGGGGTACAAAACAGCCCTTTGTGTACCCAGGAGTGACTTTTCAAGGGCTTCAGGGCCTTGCTGTGATTCTATTTTTGGACAACTCCCATTCCATTTAGCAACAAAGTGGTTTCCTTGCTATCAAAAATACATTTTCCTTGTGTCAGGACAAGACACACAGGCTGGAACATAAATTAGAAATAAGTTTTACTGATGAAGCAGTTCTCAAGATTTCTCTGCCACCTCCTTTCCCCTGCACTTATGGTGGAATTTAGTGTCTCTCAGCCTCTCTCCTCTTTTCACTCTATGGTCTGTCCCTTCAGCAGATCCACTGTGCAGATAAACAGGAGGAACTGGATGGATTCTGAAGGGGGTGGGTTGTAGCCAGGTGTTTGGGAACAGAATCATCCCTACACATAACTGTTAGGGGGAAAACAGCCTGACCCTCCCACGTCCAGGGGTGCTGTACAGGTGTCCCCAGTGTGTCCCTGTACAGGTGTCCTGAGCTCTTCGGGTCTCTGCAAAACGGATGGGAGAGCTGAAGGCCCCAAAAGCTTAAATTCACCGTCAGGGTCTGTGTGGCCACAGGAACAAAACCAAGCTGAAACTTGGAGAGCAGGTGCCCGTCAGAGGGGTGGCTGTAGGTTGATCCTGTATGTCCAGGGACATCCTTCACCCCCTCCCGGCCCCTGGCCGCGGTGATGCTCCTCGCCCCCCACATCTCAGCTCCCAGCACACGGCGGCTGCTCCGAGACACCGGCACTAAACCCGCTCTCGCTGTGTCCGCAGATCAAGAACCTGGCGGGGCTGAACCAGCGCCGGTGAGGCGGGAGCGGCGGCGGGCGGCCCTTTCCCCGGCACCAATAAACTCCTACTCTGTCTGGCACGGACTCTTTTTGCGGGAGCACCGGGGCCGGGGGGGAGCGGGGCGGGGACGGACCGGGCGGGAGCGGGGTTGGGATCAGGATCGGGATCGGGATCGGGATCGGGATCGGGATCGGGATTGGGATCGGGGCCGGGGCCCGGAGCGGGCGGCCATGCCGTACGCCAACCAGCCCACCGTGCGCATCACCGAGCTGACGGACGAGAACGTCAAGTTCATCATCGAGAACACGGACCTGGCGTGAGCAGCGGGCCGGGCGGGCGGGCCCGGCGGTGCAGCGGCCGCGGGAGCCCCCGGGGGAGGCTCCACGGGCCCGGCGTGCCCCCGTGGGGTCGAGTCCCGGCCGCGGGGCACGGCCGGGCGGCGTACCCGAGGCCAAGCCCCGCAGCGGCCCCCGCCGACTGCTCCACGGGCCCCTCGTGCCTAAGCACGCGTGTTTCCCTCCCTCAGGGTGGCAAATTCCATTCGGAGGGTGTTCATCGCGGAAGTCCCCACCATCGGTACGGCCCGTGGTGCCCCGGGCTGCTCTCCCGGTGGCTCCCAGCGCTTCCCCGTGTTCTCCCGCAACCCCCGGCTGCTTTCAGTTCTCCTCACCCGTGCTCAGCCAGTCCTGTGTGCTGCGTGTGCTGTCTCAGTGTGTCTCTGCGATGTTTCTTGTGCCCTCACAAACTCTGTGACTTTTCCCCACGTCAGTGTTTCTCAGTTCGTGGCTTTCTCCTCCCTGCAGCCATCGACTGGGTCCAGATAGACGCCAACTCCTCCGTGCTCCACGATGAGTTCATTGCACACAGGCTGGGTGAGTGCTGGGCACGGGGGACAGATGAGAGTGGATTGGGGGTGAAATCAGCCCAAAGATGCTGAAACACCTTTACCAGGAGGCTGCTCTTCCTCTGCCTGTCTTGGCAGGAAAGTCAGGGGCTCTTGTGGTCTCACTCAGAGATTCCCCTGATTTCCTTCTTCCCACAGGCCTCATCCCTCTCACCAGCGACGACATTGTGGATAAGATGCAATATTCCAGAGTGAGTCAAGCGAAATGTCGTGGGGGGCTTGTCTTGGTTGGTGGTGGTTGTGTCTGATCCCATTGGGAAGCGCTGACCGTGTCTTGCATAAAGGTCTCAATCTGTGTGTGTGTGTCCCAGGACTGCACGTGTGACGAGTTCTGCCCCGAGTGCTCCGTGGAGTTCACCCTGGACGTTCGCTGCAACGAGGACCAGACGCGCCACGTCACGTCCCGCGACCTCATCTCCAACAACCCCCGGGTCATTCCGGTCAGTGCCACCCCTCTGCTCGTCCCTCTCTACATCCCTGCTGGGGCCAGGGTGGCACACACGTGGAACGTGGACACAGCAAGGCCCTTGGAGAACGTTTCACGTCGCCTGAAGCTCCACCTGAACCGCAGCGGGAGAGCAAAGCAGGAACACCTGCAGTAGCAGTGCCAGCACCCTCCTCGTCTTTGCAGTGTTGTCCTTGCTGTCTCATGGCATCCAAAGCAGTTTGGCCTCATCCCAAACTCTTGGGAGGCTTTAGTGATGCCCCTTCATCTCACCTTGAACGCCCCAAGTGTGTGTGGTGTGCCTGTCTCCTGCTGCTGTGCCACTGGGAGTGACTTTGGGAACCGAGCAGATGCGCTGGGCTCTGCTGGAATACACTCCATCCTGGGGAGAGCAGCTCAGGAGATGAGCAGGTCACTGGGGGCACATCACATACCTGGCTGCAGCTGCCTGAATTGCCCCAAATTCCATTAAATAGGGTGGGCTGGGTTTGTTGCTGTAAGTCACTCTAGAGGAGTTCTCCACCTTCTCTAACTTTTGTAGACAGCTGGTATCTGATGTGGAGAGAAAAGCTGATTTTGTCATTAATTTTCTTGATTTCGCTCTGCTGCTGCAGGTGACATCTCGGAGCAGAGACAACGACCCCAATGACTATGTGGAGCAGGATGGTGAGTGGCAGGTCACTGGGAATGAGAGCTGGAGGAGGAAATTAACTTTTTTTGGGGGGGTGGTTCTTTGAACTCGTTTTTCCTTTACTAGCTGTGTAACCATAGGGCAGCTGTAAACCTGACACTTCAGAGCCTTCAAATCCTGCAGGCTGATTTCCCCCCTGCAGCCTCCTCCTGCAGGCTGACGGGAGTGTGTGGCTTTGCAGACATCCTCATCGTGAAGCTGCGGAAGGGCCAGGAGCTCCGGCTGCGAGCCTACGCCAAGAAGGGCTTCGGGAAGGAGCACGCCAAGTGGAACCCCACGGCGGGCGTGGCCTTCGAGTACGACCCAGACAACGCGCTGAGGCACACGGTGTACCCCAAACCGGAGGAGTGGTACGTCCCCCTGTCTGTCTGGAGGCACTGGGAAAGGTTTTCCGGCAGGCAGCGACTTCCATTTCGGCCCTGGGGATGATTGGGGTCAGTAAGCGGTGGTGAGCGTATCATTCCCCCTCGCACTGACTCTGCTCCTGCACTGGCCAGCCGCCTGTTCTCAGCTGCATACAAGGTGGACTGGTTTGTGGTCACCTCTTACCCTCCCTCGTGTGCCATCACTGCTGATTTGCCTTGCTTTAGTGCTCTTTTCCAACCCTTCTTGATGATTTTTTTTCTCCCCTGTGCAAGTGGTGTGCAGGTCAGGAGGGTAAGGGCTGAGGGAGGAACAGATCCATGTGAAGTGGCAGAGGTTGCTGTGAGAGCAAAGAGTGGCAAGGTTGGGTTGCAATACAGATTCTGCAGCCCTGTTTGTATGAGGAAGCCCAATACGACTCTGATTCTACCCATACATCTCACTCCTGGAGCCTGGGACCTGGAAGCAGGGTTTTGCCCTTTCTTCTCCTCTGACATACCATTCTGCATCAGTAGCATGCTGCTTCTCATCTAAAAGTGACACTATTTTGCTTTTGGAAAGCTGCTGCCCTGCTTTGCCCTGGGGGAGCACTTCATCTAGCATCCCTTTTCCATGAGTAGGTACCTGAGCTGCTCCTGGCTCTGCATCCCAGTGACCACCTCTTGTTGAGCATGCTGGAGCCAACAGTGTAGTGAGGAACCTGGTGCTTTGGGCTGAGAGCAGGGACTAGAGGGGGTGGTGGATATGCTGCCACAAGAGCAGGGCAGCAGCCCAAGGTCAGGAAGACCTCGGTACAGCAGCAGGATTTGGTGCAGGGACAGCAGAAGCCGGGGTTGAGCAAGGGGGAATAAACCCTGAGCAGAGCTGCAGCTCGAGGGGAGGCTGAGCAGCAGAAGGGGCTCTGTGGGTTTTCCTCCTCTGACTGCCAGACCCTGTGCTGCCACATTTGACCCTGCAAGCAGTAGCAGGCAGATAGTGGGGCTGTTGTACCTCCTCACTCTCTGCCTTGAGCCTGCTGTTCGAACCCATCACAGGGCATGACCTTACACTGTCCCTTGCTAAAGTAGCTGTCCCTGAACAAGCTTCCCAGAGGTGCAGTTCAGCCCTGATTTCACACCTCAGCTGACTGCCAGCAGCTTCCTGCTCTGGAGCTGTCAGGGAGATCCTCTGCTGCTCAGTTTGCACTTGGGAGGCTTGAGAAGCCTTTTGTCACCACGGGTGGAGTTGCAGGTGAATCCATACCAGCCATCCCAGCCGCTGTTTTATGGGTGGAAGGAGAAAGCCCTGCTTGGCTTTGATGGGCTCTGTGGGGCGCATTCGTGGGCCCAGTTCAGTCAGTCTGGGTGGAAAGGGACGTGCCGGGCGTTTGGCTCCTTCAGCACCTCGTCAGGGCGGAGCAGTAAGAACCAGGCTGGCTGGTAATGCTGGAATTCTGGAAATGGGCATTTTCCTCAGCGTTGATGATCTGCATGCACAGACTGAAGCTGCACTTAAAAACTGCCAGCTGCAGACCAGGCTGTCAGGGGGAAGGTCCATGAGAGGCTGGTTGACCACGACTGAGGGTGCTGCTGGGCAATCTTGTGGTCAGGACCATGTCACAACAGTCGATGTGCTTTGTCACCAGCAGTTTGGGGGGTGGAACCGGTCAGCTTTGAAGTTTCCAAATTATTTATGGCAGATAAATTGCCCCCAAATTTAGTTGGTTGTCTGAGTGGTAGATCAGCATGCTCGAGAAACAAGAATGGATGTGGAATTTCAAATGGGGATTTGAAATCATTTTAAGCTTGGTTTTGGTGCTGTAAAAATTCCTCAGTTTAATTTCTGCAGTGCTGGCTCGTAAGTCTGCGACACTGATGAAGTGACAGATTTGGAAGGCTGCTTTGAGTGGGACAATGGGGTGCCAGGCAGGCTGAGGGATCACTGGCTTTGCTGCCTTTTTGGATGGGGAATGTCACAGTGTGACTTTTGGAGGGCAGGGGCTTTGGGAAATGTTGGTGTCACAGAGAATAGCCCCAGCTGAGCACGTGTACCACGTGCACCTCAGCAATGTGGCTCTTCCCTGGCGGGGTGGCCCAAGGCAGCTGCTAGTGGGGATTCTTTTGTTTGGTGGCAGGGTCAGCTGCATCTTTAGGAATCTGGTGTGGTATACAACAGCCAGGGCACCTGGAAACAGTTTCTGAGAAAGTTCTTGACAAAATGTATGTAAAAAGTTGGAAAAATCTGAAAGGAAGATTGGCGTTGTAGCTGCCAGTTCCCTGATGATACATCTGTCTTTCCAAGTTCATCTGACCTTGCTGTGAAGACAATACAGAGCCAAAGGCTTCTGCTGTCCAAGGCTAGCTATGATTTTTGGTTTAGTTTTTCATGGTAATTGCTTTTTGAGGCTGTTGGCAGAGCACTGGCATGCAGCTGGACTTTCCAAGCAGCTGCCGTGGTGGTGGTAACCTCTACACTGTTTCAGCCATGAGTGGTTCTTCTGCAAGTCATGAGAAGTCCCAGCTCCATTAACACTTTTATCTCTCTCAGTGGTTTGTCCAGGCAGAGGGTTTGGTTTGAGAAATGCAGTTTTATTTCAGGCAGCTGATGACAGGGTGCTGGGATCAGCATTTCTGGGCATTGCTGGGGCAGAGGAAGGTCAGCAGGAGACCTTGGTGGGCACAGGATTTTCTGT